AAAACGCCGATTTTACGGCAGTTATTCCAAAATTTGAATTTGGCCACAGTAGAGTACCCTTTCCAAACTTTGCATACATAAAAATATTACATATATGCACCTTTATGCAAAATATCTTAGAGGTACTCGCGTGTGGCCAATATGAATTTTACATTTTATGAACGTTGAGCTTTCAGAAATTGAAGCAAGGACCTCCATTCTTATAGTAGTTATAAGTTCATCATATGCATAAATACCCTAAATTAGTTATTAGTATATCAGATTTATTCTTGATAATTATATAATCCCCAATTTGTCAATAATTCTTTACTAGAATTTTTTAAATTGTCATTTAATATGGTTTCTTTTATATAATTTAAAAATTACGCTCTTTTCTTTCATGCTTACGTACATGATACAATGATGACGTCATAATATGACCGTGAGGCCTACTGAATCTGAGCAAAAATAATTTGAAAAAGTTTGTCAAAATAATTTTATAATTAGAAAAAAAAGTGTTGAAAATTGATTTATGTTGGGTTTCCACTTTGTTGATAGCACTAGATGTTGAACGTAAAAAAGCCAAATCCGAAGGTTATATCTTAAATACAAGCAACTCTATGACTGTGTATTCTAGTAAACGTAAAATAGTTAATAGTTTGATCTGTTCATAATTACAAATGAAGAAATATATGGCGTTTATGAACATTATGCATTCAAGATTTACAGTAAATGTTAGTTAGCTTACATTATTTTAAAACTCTAAAACGCTTGTTCTCTCTCTCTCTCTCTCTCTCTCTCTCTCTCTCTCTCTCTCTCTCTCTCTCTCTCTCTCTCTCTCTCTCTCTCGCCGTACGTAGATTTTCCCTTCTTTATTAGCCTATTACGATGTCTTAGAATTTTTGATTTGGACTTCTAATTTACAAGATCAACTTACATATTTGACGATGTCCTTTATGAAGTGTAAGAACCATTTCATAAATACTAAAAGTATTATACAATTTTGATAAGAGCTTATTTATAGAGACAGTTTTTATGTTATTTAATTTTTTTGCGGAAGGGGGAATGGGAGGGCATTCCTTTAAAAAAAACGATGCAGAATTTTTTCCCGAAGAAAAAAAAGAAAGAAAAATCTAGTAATTTGTAATCTAATAACTCTGAAACAGAATAACTGCGGATGATCCATCCGCACACGTAAACATTATAGAAGAAGTTTGTCTCGTAACTACTAAAGGCATAACATGGATCGGACAGACGTAAGAAACGGGATCACTGAATTATCTATAGATAGAAGAAAATCTCCGCGGAAGTGATGTGAAAGTGTTATTTGGGGATGACAATTACTAAAAATAAGTGTTAAAATGAAGCTTTTATTTTCACTACATTTTATACGAGGGTTGTCCCAAAAAGTCGTAGACAGGTAAAACAGTTTTGTTTCTCTTTGCTTTATTATATTTTTCTCCTTGTCATAGCAAAGAGTAACATTTTTTGATCTTGAACTTCAAGTTTTATAATGATATTACATCTTATAAGAAAATTATGAAAAAATAAAGAAAGAATATAAGTGTACACCGGCGCAAGAAAGCAAGCGTCTTACGCCTCTTATAACGTCATGATCTCTTTGGCTGCTTTACTAGTGGGTATTAACATTTTAATATTTTTTAAAGTGATTTTTACACTCTTGAATAAGGGACATATATTCAAATACACCGCTGTCCGTTTGGTTTTTTTTTACTTGTTTTTTAAATCAGATTCAAATTTCAGTCGAAATTTAGTCGTAGATCGCCTTACATTGTAGGCAGCAGAGAAAACAAATTGTTTGACGTCGTTCGCTGTTTAGAATTTTCCAAATTGTTTGTGTTTATCAAACAACACTCTACTTCTTACATGCCGTTATTAACTATTTTCGGTACAGAAGAAAAATTCTCATTGAATATCGTGCAATTTAAAAATAACTTTTTAATTTAAATTTGGTGTGTAATGTCACTTCTGTACTCTAAGTTCCCGTCTCCGATGTATATAAACCATATTCAAGACAATTTATTACATCTACGTGCGCCGACTACGCGTTCGACGACGTCATTTTCATCAAACTCAATTTCAACGATACTTTGAAAATCATGACATCAATCGTCTGATTTTAATGATATATATATGAAACTTTGAAATAATATTAAGATTTTTATTCTGGTTTTAGTGGTTTAAATTTGAGTTCAATGTATTATATAGTACGAAAGAAATGAAAGCAAATAAAATAGTTATATGCGTAAATTGTTCCAAATTTTGTCCGTGCGCCGACAGGCCTTATCGTCCTTCATATAAATCGTCCTAATATTATTAATATGAAAGATATGTATTTAAAAATTCACAATTTAAAAGAACATTGAATATACTATGTCTTTGCAAAATTTGGTAAGTATTGGTTGCATGATTAAAAAGTTATTAAGATTGTCTACGACTTTTTGGGACAACCCTCGTATACATACCACTTGCACCTATGTATATCTACAGTGAACGCGAATTGGGACATGTATTTTTGTTACTTAGGATGCCCCTTCACTATGATTAGTAGTTAGATTGGTTTCGCTTCAAATATATGAACAAGAAACATATTGACGCGAACGTCAAAAATCGGCCGCTAACCAATTAATTCTTCCTTTGATAGAAGTAATTCGAAACTGAAATTTGAGTGATCGGTTTTTTAAATTTATATTTTCCTGTTGAAATATCCTCGTGACATGAAATACTAGCATGCGACATTGCCTATTTTCTTCATGCACAATGCATGTGTAAGCAAACTGCGCATAGACCTCTGCGTCTCTGCACGCAGTTTCGTGCAAACGAACTCTGGTGGAAGTTTGATGTTTAAGTAATTATTACATAAAAGTACAAAATTAATGTTTAGACTTAGCCATAGTTTTTTTAATTTAAACAGATGTAGGACTCTCTTAGAGGATGTTAACAACCCCAAAATCGATCTAGATCCACCACTACATTTCTTCTCTTTCAGTGCTGAGATGTGGCGGGAAAATGATTGGCACATTGTAAAAACGTGCTTTTTCCAAGCCTCATAGACCAAATTGTCGTACGATGCCGTGCTTTTAAGAAATCAATATTTCATCGAATTTTTGAAAAACTTTCATAGACAATGTATGAATAAACACGGCATTTTAAAATAAGTACAACAAATCCTGACTAGACTGTTTAAAAAGAGAAAGTAAATTGTCGATATACAACGTGGTCTTTGTTTTACACTATGCCTACACAAGACTTTCAGTAATGTCAGATCGAGTTTGTCTGAGTGTGATTTGGGGACAAGCGACAATCCTTTACTTATTGAAATATTTGATTTTTTTAACAATAAACAGGCGCAGATTTGTTTTAATGCAGTACACAATAATATAATTTAAGATGAAAGGATTAAGACGCATGTCTTACCCCCCCCCCCCCCCCCCCCCAAACAAAATAGAAGCGATAGTGATATAGAACATGAGAATTAAAAATAGTCAATCAAATAAAAAAAATGCACTGTTTAATTTTGCTTAAAGAGCAAGATAAATACCTGAAAGAAAAAGAAACCTAAATCAAAATGCGTGTGATATCAATATTATCTAGCAGACTACGATATACCTGATGATATAACTAGAAAAACTCGAACTTTGAGCTACAATCTATAATTTTTTATTATAACTTTTTTATAAAAATCTTTGAAATCAAATTCATTTTACTTAAACCCCCTCCTTTTCTTTAAAACTTCAAGAATTCTGCAATACATATATTTTATTGTCAAAATGCACGAATAAATCTGGGTTCGTCATATACACAAAAAACATACTTACCCCCTTTTATAATTTATTTCTGAATAATAGGCCCAAATTTTTGTTAAGAAAAAGATTTAATAATTACTGCGCCCGGCTTAACTTTTTATTTATCCAGTCACAAAATTAAATTAAATTAAATAGTTTTAAAACTACATCATGTACAGAAAAAAAACAATTGTAACGCTTGGGTTTACAAAGGTAAGAAGTTACTGTAGAATATTTTATTGCAAAGGACTTTTTACGATGTTATGACGTTACGTTACTAATAATGACGTTCCTCATGTAAATTTCATTCAAAACAATGCCATACTGTCAAGTCTCTTCTTGAAAAAGTATAAAAGATATCTAAAAAAGGAAAACAGTTCTGAAAAGCTACAAGTCTACACTATCTTTAGTGAACTTCTCATTGAATTTTTAGTTAAGGCATATTTCGTTAGTTCGTGGCTTTAGCTCTTTATTGCCTCTTCATGTATTTACAATGAAGAAATCTATTTTATTGTCAAGTTCAATAATGTTTTAACCCTTATAACACCTAATCAGACTTATAAGTGTTCTTGAGGAAATTTTATTTATTTTCAATAATTGTGTAGTTATGGTTGGGATCGGTTTAATTTTGATTGGGATAGGTCAAAATTACAAAAAATAATTTCTCTAAAATTTTTCTTTTTCGTTTCAATTTCTTTTATAAATATGATAAATGAACATGTTCTCCCCAGTTGTGACTGGTTTTAAGAAGATTTTAACAACAATTTAAAAATATTCACAAATTCTGTGTTTTATTTTCATAAATATTCTATATGCGGCTTTTCATTCCATATATTTTATAACGTTTTCAGGTGAGGCATTCATTTACAGCAAAATTTTTACAAGAAAGCATCTTATTTGGATGTAAATAATTTTTTGAATTTTCTTTGAAAAAAAATACAAAAAATTCATATAAAATAATCAAGAGCTAATGTCGGTCTTTCAATGCTGTAACCATTGTTTAAAAAGGTTGACTCAAAGATCTATAAAATAAAATGTTGGTGTGGCATTCCTCATGAAGCAAAAGCCAGCATGAATAAACAAGTTAAAAAGAAGAAAATAATTAATTTCTAATCCCTGGACACAATTTCTGTCAAGTTTTCGAAAGTTTATTTAAATTGGAAGTTTATTATAATTTTATAAGAAATGGTTTTTGACTGTTTGATTTCATTTTAGTGTACTGGAGCTGTGGAGACAAAGTCTGTTACATATCAGGAGCAGTTCTACTTATCATTCCTTATGTCATGCTCAGAAAGATCAAAGGTTCCTCACACACAGCCTAACAAGCTCTCTGATTGGTCACTACCTTCAATCTTATTTGTTACAGCATCTGTGATTGGTCCACATTAAAGAGAGATCTCAAGCATTACCATTGGTCCATATCTTCTTTGTTAAAGTAACATTGCAGCATTCTTACCTTAAATAAACATTTTTTTCATAAAACTTACAGACAGCATATATCATGGTGCTTTTCTGAGTATATCATACAAATGTACATTTAGAACTCTTAATCAAACTTTTATTTACAACATCTTTTATTCCTGAATTACTGATGAAAAGTCTGTTTAGTTTTATTAATCATTTTCTGTTAATATCAGTTATTCCCATTTTTACTGGTTACATGATAAAGTAAGTTGTGAACCTTAAATGCACATGTATTTTTTAAAGTGAAACAAAAGTTGATTCATTTTCAATGTTGGTATGGAGCCAGGAGGCTGTTGATTATTCACCTTGTTGTGGGGTATTTGTAGAACATATCATTACTGCTGAGACTATAATGACAATAATATATCTAGTCCATGACAAAATTAAGAATTCTTGTTTACATGTGCCATTCTATTTTCTAGCAGAATATACCTGGTACTACATTGTACATGTATATTGGTTACTTAATTTATACAGTACTTACACAAAGAATCAGTGAAATGTTTGGAGGTTTAGGTTAAGGATTTTATATTCTTGTTCTGGTTGGTTTGTTTACATTATGTATTGTATACATATTGTATGCATATGTTTAAGTGATGTTTGCAGGATAAATATATTTATGTTTCAGAGTAGTTTTTTGTGCAATTGTTAAATAATACTGTTCTGTAAACTTGTATGTGATAAAGTTTTCGTCTTCCAATGTATCTTTTTGTAAGAAGTACAGTTGTCTGCTCTTGAGGATTTATTCAGGGAATTGTTTGGTATAACCTTGTTTCAAGGTCATTCTACAAAGAAAGTTCAAGGTTACTGCCAGAAAAAAACTCAGACATTTCTTTTCTATGTTATCATATTAAGAAGAATCATGACAAGCTCCATCTGTAGAGAGATTGCTTTGGACATGAGTGTTTGTCTCAACTTTGACCTCAGGTTCTTCTGGCAAGTTCAAGGTCAAGGGCAGAAAAAGATATACACGTCCAGTAACTTCTTGTCTGAGCTATAACATGCATTTAGCAATGGAGAATCATTGGAAGTTTTAAAATTTTTAAAATGAAAAAAAAATTATTCCGATAAATTTTCCTAGAAATCTTGAAGTGATTCGACTGCTGGCATTAATGTATTACAATGATATATGCTGTAGTGTTGAACATTCGATTTTTAATGTATTGTTGATATTTCCTGTTTCTATTAATAAAATTTGCTAAGAATATATGGAATGAGGTGTCAAGTGTGCTTGTTAATGAATATGTTACTAAAAATGAAAAGACTTTTATATATTTTTCTAATCTGTCATGATTGTTGAGTGTAAATTTTAAAACCTTGTTTAAATTTATGAATTGTTTAAGGATGGTTAGTTTAACATTAATTGCCTTATAGTATCAAAACCATTAATTTTTTCTAAAATGTTATGATATTATTTTTTTTTCAAATCTTTGTATTTTTTGATACATTTAAGTACTTAAAATGTGTACTTGCAATGTTTTAATACGGTGTATTTTTAATATATATTGGGCTTTGGGGTGTTTGGTTTATTATCAATCTTATTTTTGCTTCCTTGAATTGATATATTTAACAATAGGATATAGAAGTTTTGATTCAACTTTCCTCACATACGGGATTTACCAATGCTAAAAAAATGATTATAAATATGTTTATATACACCAAAAAGTTTTGATTTTGATTTTGTTGAGATGACTTGATTAAAGAAAGAAATCAAAAGAAAATTTATATGTGTTGATATATACATATTTATTATATATATTTATTTTCTGTTCATGAAAATTTTCTTTTCAATAATGTAAAAAAAAAAAACCTACCTGTGGAATTACATATTAAGTTTGAATCTAGTCTAAGCTTCTTGATTATAATTATTTTCCTCATAAATTAGTTTAAGAAGGAGGAAATGTTGAATAATGATAAATAATAACATTGAAATTTAAAAAAATAAATTGAATGTGTAATTGAAATCATGTTGTTACATTTCTTATATTTCTGTTGAATATTAATACTTTGTATTCATTCATAAAATTAAAGGCAAACATAAAGAAAAGAGTTATAAAAATCAAAAAGAATTGTTGGTGAACAATGAAGAGAAAGATTTAAGAATTTTACTCATAGTTTCAGAATAAATTTGTGTCTGCTTCTCTTTTGTAAGTAAAAGAGGGTCAAACTGAAGATCAAATACTATATGTGTACTTAAAAGAAAGGGCTTCATATTTCAGCAGTTTTGGCGCAGACAAGGATGCGCTAATTCATGAATACCGCCACGAATACATCAATAAATAGAGTATATGGTACAACAAACGTGTATTTCTAATTCATTATTATGTTACATTCTGTAATTTTTTGTTACCAGGACAATGTTTTGAATCAGTTGTTCTTAAGATTGGGCTTTCTTTTTTTATCTTCATTAGTATGCAACAAGGGAAGATGTTTTTCTTTTGGGGACCATCATGGCTTTAGTGCAGGGTAAGTCATTTGGCTGTACAAATTTTTTGCTGTGTTAATTGTTTTTATGTACCTCACAAACCTTAAAGCAAGTGGTAAAATAAAATCATGGAATCAACTAAATTTATTGAAAGCAATTATTTGATATGTTTTCTGCATAAAAATACAGGTGGCTATATGAGAATGATACCTGTAGGGAAAGAAGACCCTGGTAAGAATTTATCAATTTTATCCATCCATAATTTAAAAGCTTAGCAGCTTTGTTATCTATGAAAATAAGCAATTTTACATCATTTCATTTCATTTTGAAGAGAAAATACTGAGTATTAAAAAGTTTTCCACTTAAGTATAGTAGCTTGTTCCCTTTTTAGGTTCCCCTTATTTTACACAATATACATGAGGATATGGTATTATTTTTATTTTAATTGTGTATAATATAGTATTTCTAGTTAAAATTTTGTACAATCATTTTAATGATTTTGAGTATCAAGAAATACAAGTCAATTTTCAACACCTATCGCAAAATAAAAATTCTGGAACATTTTCTTTCGAACAGACTGTGGTTTCTCTATAACATACAAAAGGACGGAGACATTTAAATCAGGTACTATATAAAGGAAAACATGGTGAGCTGTAGCTCTTTTCCATTACTCCTTCAAAAATCTTTTCCATTGCTCCAGGGCAATATGCCAATGATCTTAGCATATATATTTATGAAGAAGAAGGGTGCATTTATTGAAATGGTTAATTTCATGCCCCCTGGGTCAAGGGTATAGTCTGAAATAAATTAATGGTTACACGTATGAAATCTGCTCTGTAGTATTAGTCAAATGAAATTTGTGATAAAAATAATTTTGAATATGTGACCCCAAGTTCAGTGGTTCCTCTGGGGTTGTGTGCACAAATGGTAGGCCTTTCAGCTAATTTTTCAAGGTGCACATAATTATAGTAAAAAACATTGTATAGATAAATTTATAGGTACATAAAATTATCAAAAAAGATAATAACTTGTGCATACTTTTAATTACCTCATTAAAAAGTTTAATCATTTATACTTGACTTTTCCGATGTTGTGTTTTAAGACAGGTAACTCAGGTGTGAAAAATGACAAACTTAGTGCCGATTTGTGAGTTATCGTTTATAGGAATGACATATAGGCTGCTTCAGCATTGGTATTGTTATATACACAAAAGGGTTCCTTACAATTGTTTTGTTCACAATAAAGAGAATGCCTTCTCTCCACCTGAAATAACAGGGTCAAATGAATAGGGAACAGACTATATTCAATAGTTTAACTCTCTTAGACGATTATTATGAAGAAGAAAATTTAATGTCATGTTTTTTGTGTTCGAGCTTTTTCGCTTCCTATGTAAATATATCTATTTTTACAAGTAAATGCAACAATTGATAATCTTATTTGTGTTACTAAGCACGAAGGGGAACGACCGAGTATAAAAATTTAAATAGGTTAGAACTAAGAAGGAGGGTAGATTTCACTTTTTATTTTAATTAAAATTTTTAATTATTTGCAGTAAACCGGTGTCCGCAACTATAAAGTAAATAAGTTTAACATTGGTGCTAAATTTTAAAACCACTAGATTCTACTGAAAGCAAAGAAACACCTGAGAAATGCTAGAAACTGCCTTGCGTATAAACAGTTAGATACCCCGAGCCTGCTCTAAACAAGTTTCAGCAGTGAGTTATCGTTCATAACACCGACCCCTAGCGGCAGTTGAAAGGCCTACAAATGGTTATAAAGTTGAAATGCATTTTCTCTTTGTAACTCTGATCTAACTCTGGGTATTAAGTAACTTACATGTAGAAGAGTATGCATGCTAAGTGTATAATTATGATAAGTAGTGGTGCCTCTTTTATTTTATTATACTATAGACTAGTTATTAGCTTTATAATACATGTAATAAAACAGACAGAAAAGAAAATATGAAATCAGAAGAGGATTATGTAATGAGAAACTCTGTGAATTCCTACAAATATCATCTGACATTTAATTAATTAAGGGAATCCATTGGTAATTAAACTATGTATTCTCATTTCTGTAGCTGTGTGTACTTTGTTGCATGGTTCTTGTCTAAGAGATTGTTGAGTATAGAGCAGCCTGGAAGTTCCCTGTCACCTATTGACAGATCCCCAGAATCTCCCACGAAATGTCTATGAGATGTAACCCTATCAGCTGACCCTGATCATAGTGAACTAGGGTCTGTAGATCATCTAGAGCTGTTTGTACTTGCATTGTGCCTACATGTCTGTAGCACAAGATCTCTAGCATGTATAACAGTACCAAGGATGGTACAGATAATAATCTGCAGTGGTTCTGTAGAGCAGACTGTAGTTCTGGTATCAGTTCATTGATGTAATGGATTCTAGTGTAAAGTCCGACATTCCCTGCTACAGCCTGTCTCATCTTTGTAGACCAGGACTGTCCCCCTACAGCCTCAGTATACATCTCACTATCAAAATAATTTATATACATAACATAAGGCTGTGCTAACTTGACCTTTATCATCTCTACAATAGATAAAGCTTTCATGTATTTTTGTGTCTTGTAGTAATGCATGGCTATGTACAGCATGTCTGTGATACAACCAAACTTGGCTGCTAAATTCAGCATTTGAGAGGACATTTTGTTAGCTCTATAACTCAGTTTGTTGTCAGGTGTGTAGGTTTCCATGTGTAATTTAAAAGCAGTGTACTGAAGGACCCTGGCAGTAATGTTCTGAAGCTTGAGGGCTTGATACTGTCTCAGGAGGGGTGAACCTATCATATGTTCTATTTTAGTTAGATATCTAATGCAGCTTTGTATGTCACATTTGGCTGGTATAATGTAATCACGTAGTATTTCAGCAAATAGATTTCTATCAAATTCAGCCTCAGAAATCAGAGTATGATCATCTGTACTGATGGAGTTTCTGGGGTTATAGAGGACATCTATAATATAAGACCTAATGGAGGGACTGTGTAGCAGGAATGCTAAGCTTTTCTTCTCATACAACTCAGACAGTCTTATAAATAATTGATGTTGTTTGACGCCAAAAAATTTACTCAGAAACATGTTGTTACCTGGAATGAAAAAGTTAGGACAGACCCCTTCATACACCCATTTGAGGATGATTTTAAAACAGACCCAGAAACTCCCCAGGATATTTTGTGGACACCAGTGACTCAGAGGTATTGTATTTTGTTGAATCACCCAGAAAACTGCAGTTTTCATGTGATAGGAACACAGTAACTTATCATCATCACCTACTCCATTGTTAATCATTTCTGTTAAGATCAATTTAAATAAGCCGTAAGTTAAGAATTGACAGTGATTCATTACAAACACAAGTTTTTGTTCTGCTCGGGAGAAAGAAATTCTCCATTCATGATCTTCATGATTTCCTAGCTTATGCCCAAGTGCTACAAAGTGACATCCATTTTTCACTATATCATCAACAACATGAGGCTGGGGCCGGGCCATGAGTGACATCTGTCTCTCCATGAGGAGGCAGAGGGAGGCCAAAAGTCACTAACAAAACAATCAGCATGATCATATTCTAGTGTTGCAAATGTTCCAGTGGCACAGGGTCCATGTGGAGTAAGGTTATAAGGTGCAGTTACTGATGATTGAGAAAAAGAGAACTGTCTGTATTCAGAACTAGATACATAATATCTGTTATTCATTCTAACACATGCTCTCTGGATTGTTCTGTCCATGCTTGGTGACAGTAAATATAACAAAGTAAATCCTGGTGGACTATCTGAACAGTCACAGAGCATTAGTATTTGTCTGTGTGTGTTGTAATACTGAGACTGAGATAATTCCCAGACCACACAGTGATTATTTGACCACCTCATAATGTCCATATCAGACCCTT